TTCCCTTGCGCGAACTTCGCCCATCCCCAAGTTTTCTAATCATTCTAATGGTCCGTCGATAGGCTTAATCAGGTTTCCCGGACCTAGAGCACTCCATTTCGTAGCCTTGAAACGGTGCATTAAATTTGATAGCACCCTCGCGCCTCGGCCCTCTCAGAATAAATAACAACCTCGGTCATTATTTTTAAGAATGTCCCGGAGCACAACATTATCCTATATTTATCCCTTTTTTTCGCCATCATGAATGTTACATTTTCGAACTTCAACAACACAAATGGGGACTGGGACTGGTGCCCTAATTAACGAAGCGTTTTCAAAGGGACATGTTTTACTGCCCCTTAACTTTTTCTCAACCCATCATTTTGTGAAAAAAAGGAAAAAATTTCATCTGTTTCCTCGTTACTTTGTGGTAATAGACCACACTTTCTATGGGTTTAGCGGCGTGACAAACCATGGGAGAACGCGAGAAAAGCTTGTAAATCAGGACCCGAAGGCGAGTGACTTACAGGCTTTTCTATTGTTTCCCAACATCCCACGTGGGATATCACGCCGGTAAACTATTAGAACGTTTAGTCTATTGCTTTTATAAAATAACTTTAAGTAAAAAGAAATCTTATAGCCAACAAAAAACGTGGTGTTAATGCCGTGATCAAGTCGTTCCTTCTCTCTAAAGTCATCGAAAGCCAACCGTGACTTACGTGCCAAACTTTCTCAAAACTCAGTTCAATTAAGCAAAAAACAGATCGAGGCACTTTTAATTACTTAACGAGTTGTTGCACTCATTAAAAGAGAACTTATGATCAAAGCTATTGTACAGAAAGTCAACACAAATTCATGCGACCGAAAGTTCGATTTGACATACGGAACTGGCAGCTAATGTAGTGGAGGACTTCATTTAATTACACGCTCCAGCGGTTTAAGGTCCGTTGTCTGAACTCTTTCCGTGATCAAGAATTGCCGCAGATTATCCAGGATTCTTTTTAGGAGGGGGTATATATTCTCTTCACTCTCTTCCCATCTTATCCAGTCCCTTTGGCTATTTTTACAAGCAGACCTAGATTGCCCTCCACCCAAACTTTACCTAATTCATTAATTACTGGCCTTGGCTCGCAAATTGAGCTATTTTTCAATCTCTAAGATGTCGGGTTGCATAAAATTCTATTAAATGCGCTTTACCAACTGCTGGCGTGCGGCGTTATTAAAATCCCATGCTAACAATCCAAAGGCTTAAAAAGGTGAAACTATAAGGTCACGTTTGGAGATAAATAGCTCTGTAAAACAACTCTCCAGGGGTGAGAGTTTGTTAGGAAATAAAAAAAATCAACTAAACAGGTTTCATTTTCGGTCAGAAAACCAATCAACATCATCATCATCATCATCATCATTGTCATCGTTATTATTACTGTCATTATAGCACTTTCGCATATCATTTGCCTGCGTCATTGTGTCACAATGACTGCTAATTTGTAGAAATTTCGAATGCGCTAGAACCGATATGAAACAAAATAGATTCATAATAATCCGACAATGCAACGTCGCAAAGTGTGGCCCAGCTAAGATAACACAAAGTAAAAAAATGCAAACACGATAAGCAATCTTAAGTACATGATATTAACAAAAGATCTCAGTCTCGAACGTTGATGCTTAAGCTCCATCTTCTATGTAAGTTGTAACAAGGCATATTTCGCCTTTGAGGCACGAGTTCTTTCTCTCTACCTAAACATTGAGGAGTCATTGCCTAGAGCTATGAAGTCACTACTTGCTACTTGTTTCCCCAAAAATGTCTATGTTGATAAACCACCTAAGACCTACTCAAGTAGATTGAGGCCTGGGTCATTACACAGTTTTCAGAATTTTCAAAGGGGGCTGGTATAACGTACAGTATTTTAAAGACATCCCGTGACTAACAATTTAAGGCCAATCATAACCAAGAAATCTTCCAATTTCATTTTAAAAATTGTTCATAACTGCATCACGTGACCAGCCACGCCCTGTTTTATCGAGAAATCCTTCGAGTCGAAATTCCCACCAGAAGGAGAGTAAACCGTTTTCCTTTAGCAGGTCCAAAAAGTGGCTACTGATAGTCTTCTGGTAAAAACAATCGGAATGAGGAGAGGTCGATAAACGTCTTTCTCCTGTCGATAATTTTACTTAGAGGAGAACTGGCACTAGTCAGTGAACACCAGTTGCACAGGCCAATTGTAATGCTTCGAACCATTCCGAGCTACTCGTTTGTCAAGTGGTGGGAATGGTTGGTTACAATTTTCGAACAATGAAGGGCGTGGTCGATCACGTGACGAAATAATTTTAATTTCTTTTTTCACGTTTTTTTAAGTTTCGTTTACTTTAACATATAACGTCCCTTGTGGATGTCTTTAACCATAGTTTTTGGAAACTGTACATAAAAACCATAAATGACTTAGACCCAGGCCTTAATCTACCTGAGTATATAACGCGACACCAGCCAAGCATTTGCCCATTTTTGACTTGAGATTATTTGCCGTAATTCAAACACGACACCACGTGAAGACCCAAACATTCTTATGAGTTTTTTTAACGCTGACATGTCCCGCTACCCCGCCACAGGAGAAGTAAATACGTAGCGGCATCTAAAAAGCAAGCATATGGGTCACGAAAACGAGTATTAACTTGCACAGTTGAATGTAAACTTGACATCTGTGGGTAGGCCACGAAAGGTTCCAGATCCTTCTTTAACAATGAACGGTGTTATTGTTTGGGATTGGTACGCCTTTGGTAAATCAACAACCTGCTTGGTGATTCAAAGTTCATCTTTCCCGAAAAGCGCATGCATTGAGAGCAACAACGTTGATCGGTGAACTTGAATGTTGATGGACAAAGTTTAATGTTGAACTCTCACTAGCAAAGGTGAAGTCTTAAGTTTTGATGATTGCGTTAACTGGGAACTACGAAGTCGTACTGCAAAATGTAATGTTGATCTTTCTCAAGTCAAATGTTAAACTCTCAAGTTGAATGTTCATGTGATCTACCAGGGACGAACGAAGGATTTTGTGATAGAGGGGGCCTAGCAATATAGTATACAGTGGCAATATGGGCGAGATAGCGCCCATCAGGACTGCGAACGCCGCACTTTTCTTGGGAGTTTCAGGCGCACGTTCCTCCGCGAAAATTTTATGACATTGAAGTTCTCTGAGATGCAATGCAGTGTATTCTGGACGCTAAGATTTAGTAAATGCCTAGATTCCATAATGAACCACAGGTGTGGTTGTGGTCAAAGAAGTAATTTTAAAACGCTTTATGATGCTTGCAGGGGCCGAAGCGTTTGCGGCTACAGCACAACCTCCCGGCAAAGACAACGTTTAAAACATTTAAATTTAATCATTAACAATGTTTATTAAGGAAAATATATTTAAGTAACAAAGCTCGAAGTACCACCCAACACACGTTTATAAAATAAAATAATTCCCGGAAAAAAGGGGGCGGGGCTGGGCGGACCCCTAAATCCGCCCTTGTCTACTTTGATTTTAGGCGGGATTGGTACGCCTTTGGTAACTCAATTACTAAATAACTTGATGTTTCAAATTTCATCTTTCGCGGAAAGCGCATCAGTATAGAGAGCAATGTTGATCGGTGAACTTGAATATTTATGGACATGGTATAATGTTGAACTCTCACTAATAAAGCTGAAGTCTAAAGTTTTTAATTAACGATTGTCTTAGGGACTACAGAATTGAACTGTAAGTCTAGTGTCATCTTTCTCAAGTTAAATGTCACACCCACAAGATGAAACAGAAGTGATCTACTTTGATTTTTGGAGGGGATGGAACTCCATAGGATAAAGCCTTTCTCTTGCCAGAGTTTCAGGGGAAATTATATTTCACGCGAAATTGAGTGGGCGGTTTTTACTCAGACAGCCTCTTAACTACCGGTGCATGTCTGCGAGCGATGGTTTGACACAAAGGATTGAAAGGCTTGTGATCGATTTGCTTCCCTCTAATTCGGATTATTTCCTTCCAATTCTGTGAAAACCGAAAGGCTAAAAACCAAACAACGAACCAAATTGGGAGAGAACTGATTACTAACCTTGAAAAGTGTTTGGAAATTCAAACGAGGAAATGCAAAAAATATCGCCATTTCGTTGTAGCTGAGGACTGACGAGGTTTGAGAAGTAGTAGAACTGCCAACATCGATTGAGATGCATAAGCAACTGATGGTTAAAGGCGGTTGACTGGCATTAAGTAACGACTCAACACCTGACATTTCATCTTGGTGGCCGTACGAGATCAGGTTACAGTAGAGAGTAATGGGGTGCCAGCCCATTTTTATATTGTGTTGGTATTTATATAGTGATTCTTCCCTCGGGGCACATATCTTTATGGCATATATAAGGGAGTACTCGCCGGGCCTGAAAAGTTTCCCGTTTGGGTCAGCCCATCTCCGCATAAACCATTATAGAGAGAATCCCCCATATTTAGCGAATTATGTAATACCAAAGATCATATTAGCAGGTTTCTTCGTGACATATCGTTAGGTGTGGACAAGTAAAGGTACGCAACGAAGTAAGGCAGGAGTATCCCCTTCAAAGCAAACGGCAACAACAGCAATTTATTACACGACAAAAAGTTTACAACGAATATAAGTAGTCCGAGAAGAAAAGAGGAAATAATTCCCGCCACCCGCTAAACGAAGCGAGAAGTAATGAAGTGGAAAAGAAAGATAAATCTAAAAAAAAATAGACTGAATTTTTAACAATTATATCATAATACTATGTAGAGATTATCACCTATAGAGACGTGAAATAAAGAAAGCGTCTTTTCGTCATCAGCACAACTGCTAAACATCACTTAATCGTAGGCCAGGGTTATAAGGGCTATGCCTAGCTGATGGGAACACGAGGGACCTATAGCTTTATCTATAAAGACACCTACCCATTTAAAAAGCCGCAAAAGAATAAAATGGCACCAGAAAATTTATAAGAAACTGTTTGACTTGAAACATCACATATTCACTCGCCTATGACTACTTGTATGAGTCAGCTGCTGCCGGAAACTTCTACAGTAAACCCGCGTTCAAGATTAGAAATACGAAAAGTATTCCCGTTGGTTCATTTACACATTTTCTAGTCAAAACGTAGTATGCTATTTCAAAAACGATCGACTGAATATAGTAGTTATATTTTTGAAGCATATATACTTCATTTAGCCTTTTTGTGTGCAGTTGAATGTGCTCTAATTATTATGTTTGTCTTTCATTTCTTGGAAATTTTACGAATCAATCACTCATGCACAGTATTTAATTATATCGACAACACATCCTACATCCACCCCGCTTGTGTGTACTTGATTAATTAATTGTACTTTGTTACCTAAATTGGAACATATGTGAAATGCTTGCAAAATAAAATAGTTGTATTTTCATAACAGAAGATACAAAATGGAAATCTTTGAACCAGTTAAAAACCAGTAACTAATTTGCGTATTTGTTGATACTTTATCCGGTATATCTTATATTGTGTTTTTTCTTTTCTACGATATGTATTTTCTATATGGGTATTGAATTTCGCAAGGACTTTTTTCATTGGTTATAAGGTGTCAATTTTCAGTTACTATCGCAAAAACAGGAAATTAACGACCCGCGAAGTTAAGTAAGGGTTATTGGCCTGAAGCGAGGAGTTATGTGATTTATTCCCCACGTGCGCTGGGCAACGGCCGAGAGGATTAAATCACATAACCACGAGCTGAAGGCCGATAAACGGCTTATTTTTTACGTTGGCGAGGATTCCTCAAGGGATGCAAAAATACATTGAAAAAAAAAAGGCCTCTACTATTCTTTCTTTTGTTTTTCAACTCTATGCCGGCACTGGTGGCATTCACAAGTTTCTCCGGCTTTTTAATTATGTTAGTTTATCAAAGTTGCACTTGCTTCGAATTTGTTATTCGTAGTGAATGCTAGAAACAGCCTAGCAGTGTCGAGCGATTGAGAGTCAGAAGTAGAAACTTTTATTACTCAAATTAAAGCAGCGTTAGTGGCGGTACTGCAATTGAGCTTTCAGACAACAACTTTGAATCTTCATTTGCGGGTGCGACAACGAGCAAGCAGTTGGCGACCTGTTTACAGATAAAGAAGATTCCAGACGAGGGATCACTACTGTGACAAGGACATCCAGTCGAGGCAAGTGAAGAAAGAATACCAGAAAACACAAAGTGGTCAACTACATGGAGTACACGAACTTGGGATGCGCCGTACAATGACAGCGACACTTTCATGGTAGCTTCAAATAGTGGACGCTAGCTGTTCGTTCTGGCTGTGGAACACAATGAACCACCAACAAAGAAAATCCGCGAATGTGGCGCAAAAGAAGTGCAGCTCAATTTAATTTTAGTAATTGTAATATTTCTAATAAACGTTTGTAAATTTGTTCTTCATGAAACGCTAATCAAAATCGAGGGGATTATGTGTTAATATGCGGGGGGGATAATTAATTAGCTGTTCATTAGCCCCCCTCTTCCCTTCAAACAATCAAAGCCGTACCCAGCTTTTCAGACAGTTGATTCGGGAGTAATGTAATATGTCCACCCCGAGAAGAACAAAGGAATCCGAGCTCATGTAAAATGAGTACTAATAAGGTCTCTTATTTGCTCTTTTTGCGTAAATAATGCTCTATTATCTAGCTTTTTATTGTTTCTTTTTTAACTGAGCACATTGGCTAGTTTATTATTTCTTCAAATATTTACACAGTCCGCCTAGAACTGAAAGCCTTCGTTTTTGCGGGTTGTTTAATTATTTATTTTCAGGCAACAAATATCGAATTGGAAGTTAGTTAAGTTTGATGGGCTCCTGGTTAAGTTCAATGGTTGTCAAACACAGCCTGAGTAAATGCTAATCAAATTATGATAAAAGTTTAAAAGGTAAATTTGTGATCCCAGTCATTAGATCAGAACTGTCGACTGCCACCGATTTTCGTCAGCAGTAATATGAAACAAGACCTCAGGTCAAAGGAAATATTAAAAATATAAGCCTCCTAATCGTGAATCAGCTGTGCGCGGTGGTTTATTAACTCGTTGGTACTTGAATTCGCAGGTACTTAATTTTGCGATTTTGGCGAGAAAATATTTCATGAGGTTTTAATTTCGCGATTTCAATAGGCAAATAAGAAAAAAAGGGACAAAATTTCAGAAGTCAAGCACTTTCAACTTCATATTATTTTTCAAAAAGTCTGAATTCACTACATGGCGCGGGGATGCTCGTCGGAAATTTTGAATTAAACCCCTAAAGGAGGCAAAATGTGGACGTGGTCCAACCTTTTTTTGACCACTAAAAGATCATATAAAGAGACCATTTTAAACTATGAGGGTTTGAAACCCTTACCCTGTCCAGCGCCACATTCCCGTATAGGTCATACAAGGGAGTACCACCCACGCTCCCCCTCCCCCACCCGAAGATATAATCCACGCTTTGACAACCACTGGCAGATTCCATAGAGAAAATCTCTTGTTGTAAGGAGAATATTTTTAACCCTTTTATTCGTCGTTTTAGTTTGTTCACAGTCCCCTATTTTTCCGTAAGATCGTCGGGATCGAAGACTTCGCGTTTCGGGCAGCCTCTTGGATGAGTGCCAAATCTACTTAAGAGCGAGGGACGCTACAAACTCCAACGCCAGGCCTCTCGATACATATAAAACAAAGATGGCCGCCCGAAAAAATAGGGGCTGTGAACAGTTTATCTTTTTAAAGTTGCTGCTTCTAGCCTCATGCAGTAATCAGGAACACTGGTATGTAAAGAGGGTTTGCATCACAATTTGACCCAGTAACTCGTTGATACGGCCAAATTTCCTTGACCTGAAGTTTTTTTAACCAAGAAAACACCCCCCTCCCCCCCCCCCCCCCAAAAAAAGAAAATTCATTTCGACAAAAAGTTGTCAACAACTATTGTAAAGAAAATTAGCAGCAGCTGAAGATACAAAAGCGAATGTTTTAACATTATGGTATTAAAATACCATAAGGTCTCTACTAAAAGAATATGCACCTCAGTGTAAAAAGTCCATCGCTCCTTCCCGGCTCGAAGGGGCCGGGCCTAATAAAGGTGGCGAAGTTTCCATTAAGGCCCTGCACGTGCCTTTAAGCAATAGTTAAAAATGACCGGTGCATTCATTAAATTCTATTTTTTGATTTATTTCAATTATTTTCATTTCGTGCTTTTTCAGTGCCCCTCTGAGAAGGCGCGCTATATTTTCTAAGGAATTAAATCAACTGCAAAAACCGTGGACGAAGATCAAGAACCAAAAATGAGAAGTCGAAAGACTACTTCAAGGCTGATCAGAACAACGCCTATTGTTTTCTTCATAACGATATTTCGGCTCGCCATACAAGCCTTCTTCAGGTTTACAGATGCTACTGAAGAAGGCTGGTATGGCCAGCCGAAATATTGTTATGAAAAAACAATAGACGTTGTTCTGATCAGCTATCCAGTAGTCTTTGGACTTCTCGTTTTTGGTTCTATACTAGTTGCTCACTTATTTTATTCGTACGACTCTAATTAATTGTTGCTGTGTTTAAACTGTCGAGATTTTCGCTCTCTCCTTTTTAATTGCACAAATCGCCCTGACAGCAACCGAGATAGCACTTCACACTGTTGATTCCCATTTGTTGATGTTGAATTTGGCTGTTTTTACATGACGTAATGGCTTCTGGACTGCATTTATCAGATGAGGCACATCCCTTAGCGAATGCTTTCATTTCGTAGCCGCCCACGTTTGTTTGAATACTGTGATAGTAGCAGTACTGGTCCCCCGCAGACGCACAAGTTAAAGGATCCTGTGACTCGGCACAGTCCTTCCAGGAAAGCGAGCTGATACACACGTGACACTGCAGGGACGAAACTGATGAGGAAATATGATGCCTTGTCAGTTGTCAGAACAGTTAGAAATTACACATCGTTTATTATCTATTACCAGAAACTCATAAGGGGTTGAAACGTGTAACTCATATGTTCGCTTTGTGCGATGCTCGTAAATATTCATTTTCAAAAGTATCATATTTGGAACGAGAAGACAAGATCGACCTGACTTATAGCAAATTTCTCCCAAGTTGAGTTCTAACTGAAAGAACTGTACCGAAGTTCAAGAAAAGAAAAAGAAAGTCGTTGCCTTTTGTTTTCGCTTTTGACTGAACGTGAAATTAGGCAGTCTGGGGTTTCACGTCGTAGTCCTGCAGTGACGCATTGTGACAGCAAAGAAATGTACAAAAAAGCGTGATGCACGTGCAAAGTTGATGTTAAACCTATTACTCTTTTGAGGCCACAGCTAGGGTTTCCAAATATGGTCTTAGAGAAGAATGATATTCACGAGCATTGATCACGACTTACACGTTTCAACCCCTTATGAGTTTCTGCTTTTACTTTACATACCAATGCTGCTTAGATTCAAAACTGTAAGCGCTTTTTCCTAACGTATTCTCAGAATATTTATAACTGTTTTATATGATATTTTCCCTGACGTTTTCTCAGAATATTTAATTTACGGTTTGGGAGGATTGTTTCTGACTTTTAAAGTTTGGCGCCAGCTTTTAAAGGTGATGTTACATGGGACGATTCGCAACGACGATTTTTAGAGCAACACAGCGTTGTAATGTTAGAGCAATGTTGTTATCATTCGAAACTATGTTGCAACAATGTTGGAACGCTGTGTTGCGCTAAAAACCGCCCTTTGCGAGTCGTCTCGGGTAACACATCACCTTAATGCCATGAGTATGAGGTGTCACACTCTCAATAAATGATCGATAAAAAGTGGAACGTAACCATGCGTTTGTTCGTACACATCCTGTAGCAACGCCTCTGAAAAGTTTCATTTTATACATTTTGAATACTATACAGTTCCCTAACTATAACCCTTTTAGAATCAAAACCCTCATTTTTGACCAACGAGAACAGAACACGTGGATCAACAAATGTGGCACAGAACTCACCTGGGTCGAATATTTGAGGGAAAATTACCATCACCAAGACCATTAGTGCGATCTTCATT